GTCCTAGCCATGTGTTCAAGAGTCCTGTTCTTTCTTTCAACTACTCCATTTTGTTGAGGAGTCCTAGGGGCAGAGAAATTATGATCTATACCATGCTCATCACATAATCAGCAAACTTAACATTTTCAAATTCAGTTCCATGATCTGACCTAATGGATGCAAGTTGATTACCTAGTTGTTTCTGTGTTTTTCTAACAAAAGTAGTAAACATGTCAAATGCTTCATCGTTAGATGTTAAAAATAGTACCCCGGTAAATCTAGAATAGTCATCCACAAGCACCATCACATATTTCTTTCCACCTCTGCTCAAGGTTCTCATTGGACCACAGAGATCCATATGGACCAGTTCCAACGTCTTAGTTGTGCTTACCATTTTCTTGCTTCTGAAGGATGATCTTACATGCTTCCCCCTTGCACATGCCTCACAAACTTTGTCTTCCTTGAACTTGATGTTAGTTAGCCCTATCACCAAGTCCTTAGAGACTAATTTGTTTAGCTGATTCAGACTAGCATGACCAAGCCTTTTGTGCCACAGGAGGGGATCATTATCCAACACACTTAGGCATGTGAGTTTATTTTCTAACAGAGTAGACAAATCTACAATGTAAATATTGTTAACTCTTTTTCCCTCCAAAACAATCTTGCTAGTGGTAAGGTTAATCACAAAGCATTTGGTAGAGGTGAATGTTACAAGTTTACCTCTGTCACACAGTTGTGACACACTGATCAGGCTGTATTTCAAGCAATCTATTAAGTAGACATTCTCAATGGAGTGTGAGTCTGTCTTACCTACCTTTCCAACCCCAATAATCTCACCTTTCTTCCCACTACCAAAGGAGACATTACCTCCCTTTAAGTCCTCAAGTGAAAGGAACTGGTTCTTGCTTCCAATCATATGTTTTGAGCAGCCACTATCCATGTACCATATTTGGCTACTTTTCTTCACTTGGACATGCAAAAAAAATGGGTTAGTCATAGGAACCCAAACTAGTTTGGGTCCCTTTCAATAGGCAAAGGGGTAAATCAAATTCCTTTTATCCCACCCAAGCAACCTATTTTTTTTTTGAAAAAAAGCTTTGTTCTTTTGACTGGCCTTTTCTTTTGCATTACATTCATTTTTGTAATGGCTAGTCTTCCCACAGTGTGTGCAGATTTTGTTCTCAGGAAGAGTGAGGTACTTGCTTTTAGGATCTCACTTAGGTGCTTGAGCTCCATAGCCAAGTCCTCTTTTGTTGCTACTGTAATGTTCTTGTAGCCAGGAAAGTGCATCAGAAGCCTTGTTCAAGAACAAGTTCTGTCTAGTTCATGTTTTACCTTCACTAGATCTTCTTTTAAGACTTTTATCTGCTCATCCTTTCTGTACAACTCATCCTTCATTCTTCCTAAGTTTTCTTCTAGGGTGAGTTGAGTGTGATCAGCTTTCTTTTTACCTGTTCCTAGTTTTAGTTTTAAGTTCTCAAACCTAAGTTCTAGGACACTGGTGTCAAGTTCAAGAACCTGGTTCTTTAACTCAGCATTTTTACTATCACTCTCATTAGCCCTAGATTCTGGATTTTTGCACTTGGCTTTTAGGATCACACATTCCCTAGACAGATCTTCCTTCTCATTGTTAATTATCTCTGACTCCTCAATGAAGTCTAGCAATAGTTCAGTCAACCTTTCTTTAGAAAGGAATTTAATCTTGTCTTTGAGATGAAGGACACTTACCTCTTGTTCATCATCTGATTCTCCGATGGCCATAAGTGCTTGTTCATCTCCAGATTCATCTTCTGAGTCCTCATATGATATTTCTTCCCAAGCAGCAACCATAGGCTTTGTTGATCCTTTGTTCCTTTTGGGTTGGACCTGTTCCTTCTTCCTGTTCCTTCGTTCATCCCTTTCCTTCTTCTATTCAAATTCCTATTGAGGATAGTTCTTGATCATTTGATCAGTCTTACCACATTTGCAGCAACCCTCGTTGGTTTGTTTCTCAGGAACCCTTGGTTTGTTGAAGGTTGTACCTCTTGAAGAACCCTTTCCTCTCATCAGGTACTTTTTGAAATCTCTTGTGATCATGGCCATTTCATCATCCTCCAGATCTGAACCTTCAACTATTCTGAGAGCAAGACTTCTTTCCTTCTTGGGTGCATCTATTTTCATGGTTTGCCTTCTCAGTTCATAGGTAGTGAGGTTCCAATCAGTTCATCCATATTGAGTAGCAATGTTCTTTGATTCCTAAATAGCAGTGATTTTGCTTTCCCATGTCACTGGAAAGAGTCTTGTCAAGATTTTCTCAACCTTGTCTTCTTCAAGGATAACTCTCTCAAGAGATTTAAGTTCATTTGTTAGTGTTGTGAACCTTGTGTACATCTCCTTGATAGATTCTCCTTCCTTCATACTAAAATTCTCATATTGTGAATAAAGTAGTGTTCCTCTTGATCTCTTTACTTGAGGAGTTCCTTCATGAGGCATTTGTAAAGTGTCCCATATTTCCTTTGCAGTTGTACAACTTTGAATTCTCCTGTACTCGTCTGGACCCAGTCCACACACAAGCCATTTCTTGGCCTTGGCATTTGTCTCCCATTTTTTCAAATCTTCAGTAGTACAGTCAGCTCTTGTCTTTGGTACGTCCACTCCTTCAGCATTCTTCTTTTTAGTTGCTGGAGGACCATCAGTGACTATGTCCCAGAGTTCATAGTCTTCTCCTATGATGTGATCTCTCATCCTGTTCTTCCGCCAAGAATAGTACTGACCATTAAAGAGTGGTGGCCTAGCAGTGGATTGCCCTTCCCAGTTTCCAGGTGGTGCACTCATTTTGATCTTTTCCTAAGGTGTTTGCCTCTTCAAGGATAACTCGCTCTGATACCAATTGATGTTTTAAGCGTCAATACCACACAAGAGGGGGGTGATTCATGTGGTACCCAATTTTCGCTTAACTACTCTATAGAAGAACCTGGTTCTTCTAGGTGTTCCAACTACTACTATTTGCGGAATAATAAATACTGAAAATAAAGAACAAAGAGATTTTTACGTGGAAAACACCTGGCTCAAAAGGTGAAATAAACACGACCTACTACTTAGTACGATTTTCCCAAACTTTCACTAAAATCACTGAGCCAAAACAGCATTTACAAAACTCTTTGTAAACCTAAGGATTAACTCCAATCCCGTTGTATCACACAACCTCAACTTCAAGTTAGCTATAACTTGAACACTCTAAGTACCTAATACAATTGGTTCTATGAAAGCTGAAAGGTACACTTTTAAACCACCTACTACAATTGAACTAGAATAAAAGATAGACACAATGTAACCGGTTCTTCTATCTCGTTCAAGTAGCTTCAGGAGTGCACACTTAAATCACACATAAATTGCTTGCAAAATCACCTTGCTCTTTTGCTCTCAATTTAGTTTAACATCTGCGTATGTGCAATACCTGTATAAGAGAACAATACTGTCATTTAATAGGTAGTACTCAGAGTTTGATTGGGACTCAATTGCTGCTCTTCTATCGTAGAAGAGTTCATGATGATCTCAACCTCTAACACTATCTTTATCCTGGATTGTGTTCTCTTCGTATAAGGAGACTTTCTCCCCTTATCTAATATGCAACCTTTTCGATCAGATCAGGAGATATTGCTGCTTGATCAGTAGACCTTATCTCCTTCATGTGCATCTCACATGTATAGATTGATCATGACTGTGCTTCACAAGATAGACCTGGTCCATGACTGAGTTCTTTTGTCAATCTTCAAAACATCACTTGTTCTTGGGCCAACACTGCAATATTTAAAAAAATAATATAAAGGCTAACTTCCCTTTCGTCCTGAAATGGGGTTTTTTTGGCTTCCTGTTAATCGCCTTGTTGTATGCTTCTATCGGTGTGTAAGGTTTCGTCGACCTGTTGTGCGTCTTGCAAAACCGCGTCCGCTGGAATTGGTATAGGTGCATTATCGAGGTTCTGTGGCGGCGCGCCAACAATTGGAACAGCCACACCGTTTTCTCCGTGATTTTCGAGGTTGTTGTTCTCAACTCCGTTCACTGAGCCAGACATTTTGACCTCAAATCGAAGATCTTGGACAAGAAAAATTGTGAAAGATAACTTGCGTTGTGTAATGAAACTAGCTAGAAAATAATCACTATTATTTTTAGCCCCACGGTGGGCGCCAAACTGTTTATCATGAAAATGGTAATAAAAATTAAATTTGTTGATGGGACTCTAAAAATACGTGATCTATTGATATGCTAGTTGTAATGTAGTTGATGCTATGTGTGTGAAGTTTAAAAACGAGACGCGATCTAAAATATAGTTATACTCGAACCGATGGGTTAGTCGTTCGAGGCCTCGAGGTAATCGATTTGGGGCCTCGAGGTCGATTCTGAGCCCGAGCTATTAGGGGTAGTCGGGGGAGGGCTAACAGTCGTGATATAATTAAAGGAGGCTCTTTATGACCAATGATAAGCAATAAATGAAGAACAAGTATGAAGATAATAAATGAGAGCAACAATATCGAGATAGTGTATTAGAGAGAAAAAAGAGAGAGAGTTATCATATATCTCGTGTAGAATAGTTGGAGCAACATCAGTCCCTTTTGTCCCTTTACAAAATAGTAAAGATCCCCTTTATATACAGGGGAAACCTGACATAGTACAAAAGCATTAATGGTAAAGATATGGAGATGGGACAGCTAGATGCGATACCCTGATCTGAGTTTAGGGTAGGCCGGCTAGACCTTGTCAGACTTAGTCGCGTGTCTTGGGAACTCCCACTTTTACTCTAGCCTCGACCAATATTCTCTTCAGGCCGGGGGTCGATGAGCTCCGAGGAAGAATACTCAAGCGCATCCTTGCAGCCTCGAGGCTTCGAGGTAATCTTCCGAAATACCTTAATGACGGGAAATCGGACCCTTCGATTCTACCGTATACAAACGAGCCAGACTATTTGGACATGAGTTTGCCAAGAAATAACATGAGTCTTGAGTTGAAGAGTAAGACCAAGTCACCGGAATTGAATTCCCACTTCAAGATCTTCTTGTGGAAAACTTCATTCTCTCCTTATACATGGCTGCACTCTCATAGGCATGGAGGCAGAATTCTTCCATCTCATTGAGTTGTTTCATTGTCAGGTTAGCAGCTTCGGCCCAGTCAAGATTCAACTTTTTCAGAGCCCACATGGCTTTGTGTACAAGCTCCACTGGCAAGTGACACGCCTTACCAAAAACCAACCGGTACGGTGAGGTACCAATGGGAGTCTTAAATGCTGCGCGATATTCCCACAACGCGTCATCTAGCTTCCTTGACCAGTCAGTACTATTTGCATTGATAGTTTTTACTAGGATGTTTTTGATTTCCCTGTTAGAGACTTCAACATGACCACTCGATTGAGGATGATAAGGTGTGGCCACCTTCTGCTTTACGCCATACTTTTCAAGCAACTCGGTGAAAGCCTTGTTGCAAATGTGACAACCACCATCACTAAGGATGGTCGTGGGAGTACCGTACGACGTGAATATGTTCTTCTTCAAGAATGCAGTCACACTTCTTGCTTCATTGTTGGGCAAGGCGCTTGTCTCGACCCATTTGGAGATGTAGTCCACAGCCACCAAGATATATGTCATGCCATAAGAGCTCACCAAAGGGCCCATGAAGTCTATCCTCCACACATCAAAGATCTCGACCTCCATTAAAAAATTCATAGGCATCTCATTTCTTTTAGATATTGACCCTTGTCTTTGAAATTGATCACATGCCTTGACCATTTGATTTGCGTCTTGGTAGATTGATGGCCAATAGTATCCACATTCAAGCACTTTTGTAGCCATCCGGTTTCCTCAATGATGCCCCCCAGTCAGGGAATCATGGCATGCCTTGAGAATTGGCATTACCTCATCATCCGGAACACCCCGCTGAATGATGTTGTCGGCACAAATTCGGAACAAAAAGGGTTCCTACCAATAGCATTCCTACATTACCGCAAGAACTTTTTCTTTTGATAATTCTCCAATCCATCGAGAACAAGGTCACTAATAAAATTTAGCGATGTCGGCATACCAAGGAGCGCATGTGCTAGACAATGCCAATATGTGCTCATCTTGAAAGGCATCATTGATTTCAAGGTCTTCTTTTGGTTCCCCTGCCTCTTCAAGCCTAGATAGGTGATCCGCAACTTGATTTTTAGTCCCTTTCCGATCCTTGGTTTCAAAGTCAAACTCTTGCAACAAAAGGACCCACTGAATCAATCTTGGTTTGGCATCCTTCTTCGTCATAAGATAGCGAAGAGCAGCATGATCGGTGCAAACTATCATTTTGGACCCCAACTAATAAGCCCGAAACTTTTCAAAAGCCTAGACAATGGCGAGAAATGATTTCGATCTTTGCCCGATCAACCTCTATGCCTTGTTTGGACATTTTGTGGCCCAAAATAATGCCCTCGTCCACCATGAAGTGGCATTTTTCCCAGTTTAGCACAAGGTTTGTTTCTTTACATCTTTTAGCACTTGTCTATGTTTTTCAAGACAATGCTCGAAGGAATAACCCACTACAAAGATGTCATCTATAAGCACCTCTAAGAAATCTTCCACCATGTCCGAGAAGATAGACATCATGCAACGTTGGAAAGTAGCTGGGGTGTTGCATAGCCCAAATGGCATACGACGAAAGGCAAAAGTCCCATATAGGCATGTGAATATTGTCTTCTATTCATCTTCCAAGGCGATATTGATTTTGTTATAGCCAGAGTATCCATCCAAGAAGCAATAGAATGACCTTCCCCCCAGCCGATCAAGTATTTGATCAATAAAAGGCATAGGTAAATGGTCCTTGCAAGTAGCTCTGTTTAGCTTCCGGTAATCCATGCTAACTCTCCACCCAGTCACTGTTCTCGTTGGGATGAGCTCACTTTTGTCATTTTTAATCACTGTCATGCCTCCTTTCTTTGACATACATTGCACCGGACTCACCCAAGAACTATCGGCAATGGGGTAGACCACCCCAATATCTAGCCATTTGATGATTTCTTTCATTACCACCTCTTGCATGGAAGGGTGTAACATTTTTTATGCTCTACACTTGGTTAGATTACTTGATCCAACGGTATCTTATGCTCACAAATTTCGGTGGGAATCCCTTGGATGTTTGCTATTGTCCATCCAGTGGCTTTCCTGTGCTCCCTCAAGACATTCAACAGTTGTTCTACCTGCAAATCATTCAACAAAGAAGAGACGATTACCGGTAGAGTGTCATTAGAGCAAAGAAATTCATAATTCATATGCAGTGGAAGCGGCTTGAGCTCAAGTTGTGGCGGCTCCATAATATAAGGCTTGGCGGGAGGAGTGACTCTATTCTCTAAGTCAAGAGAAAGTTTCTTTGGTGCATAAGTGTAGGACCCAAGTCCTCCTAATGCATTCACTGATTCCATGTACCCCCCATGTATTCACCATCAAAATTTACAAAAATAGCTGTCAACGCCTCACCAAAGCATTGTTATTCAATCTTCATCTCGATTGCATCTTCTACCATATCAACAACGTCAATTACTGAGATGTTTTCATATGCATGTAGCAACTTCATACCCTTACTCGCTTCAAAGGTAACCTCTTTGTCATGAACTCGGAACTTGATTTCATTTCGTTGCAAATCCATAAGTACTCTTCTGGTAGCAAGAAATCGTCTTCCCAAGATGATAGGGATTTCTTTGACAACAACACGATAGAGGATCACAAAGTCGGCGGGGAGCAGGAACTTTCCCACTTTCACAAGAACATCATCAACCATCCCTATCGGTCTCTTTATTGAACGATCAGCCATTTGCAACCTCATACTTGTAGTCCTCGGCATACCTGACACCGTTTGCTTGTAAATAGCAAGAGGCATTAAATTTATGCTAGCCCCATTATCACAAAGATCTCTTGCAAAATCTTGTACCCCAATAGTGCATGGAATGGTAAAAGCTCCCGGATCTTTATTCTTTTGTATGATGGTTGTGGCAATAATGGAACTAACCCGGTGAGTCACACTCACCATATCATTCGTGGTGCTTTTGTTCTTGGTAAGCAAGTCTTTCAAATACTTAGAAAAACCCGGCATCTCTTGAATAGCTTACACAAATGGAATATTCATTGATAATTTCTAGAGAATTTCATAGAACTTAATGAGTTTGCTATCATCAACCTTCCTAGCAAGCCTTTGAGGAAAAGGAGGAGGAGGTCTAGGAAGTGGTGCTGGAGTTTTTGGTGCCTCTTTCACCTTTTCATTAACCTCTTCTCGGTTCACTTCTTTAATTTTTACCTCTTCTGGGACTTTTTCAGCTTCAACAACAACTGGCACTCAACTCGTGCCTCAACTTCTTGTTCAAAATATTCCACGTCGACCACTTGCTCATTCTCTCCTTGAAATATTTTCCCACCGCGAGTTGTGATACAATAAGAAGTTGGACTGCTCCCACTACCTTTTGGGTTTGCAATTGTGTCACTTGGGAGTGTGCCCTTTTGCTTCGGATTCTGCTCTCTTGAGAGATCTCTCATTTGCATATCCAGCTTTTGAATAGATGTGGTATGAGAACCGACAAGCTCGGTCATATTCTTCATTGAAGTGTCGGACCTATCTTGATTTTGCAATACTCATTCAATTATGTTTTCCAACTTGGATTCACTTGAAGAACCTTCCTTCCAATGCGGAGAGTTGGAATATTGCCCCTTCGGTACATAGGGGTTTGAACTCTGATTTGAAAAGTTGTGGTTGTTGTTACTCCAATTCCCTTGATTTGAACTACCTTGGACATTTTGCCCGTTGGTTTCCTTGCCCTTATGGGTTAGGCCTCCATTGGTTTTATTTTGCTAAACCTTGTTTTGGTTGCCTTTGATAACCTCCTAATGAGTTGTTGACATAATTTTCTTCCTCGTAATCCACATTTGATGTGGGTTGGACATCTTCCACCACATTCACCTTTTTTGTTTGGCTTTTAGTGAACATATTTTTCAACACATTGACGTTGATGGAAAACCCGACAATTACTTGATCTCGTTCTTGGTTTTCGTAAATCATGTTGGTCAAGGAAGGAGTACCATATGCAATTCCACCCGTGGTGTCCTCTAAGTGCCAAGCTTGGTTATGTTTTGCCATTTTGTCAAGGATTTGTGTCATCCTCGCAAATGTTTTATCCATAAAAGATCCATCAGCTGCATTTTGGCTATAGATTGATTCATAACATCCAAGACCATGTAGAATTTCTCCAACAAGATAGATTCTAGTAAAACCTGACTCGGCGATCTCACTAAATATATCTTGAATCGATCCATGCCTCATGTAGGTGTTCTCCCGATAATTGCTTGAAACAGAAAATGTTATCTCAGAGCATAGATTTCTTGCATTGCGGGAACCATTTAGCTATGAAAGCTCGGATGAATTGAGGCCAAGAATGAATTGAATTTGTTGGTAGATTTTGGATCCATTTCCTTGCCTCTCCATCCAGTGAGTACTTGAACACCCTCAATCTTAGGGCATCATCTGAGACGTTGTTCTACTTGTGCATCGCACATACACCCAACAAGTTTCTGAGATGTTGTGTCGGATCATCATCAGTGGAATTTCTGAAAACCCCTCTACTTTGAGCATTAGGATTAAATCGTGTTCCACCTTGAAAGTGGCAACATCAACTCTTCGAGGTACAATAACATTTGTATCCTAAATGTACTCATCTATGTCCGCAAAATGATTATCTTCTTTGTCATACTTGGCCATGTTTTCCTATCAACACCAAGCAAATCAAGAAAAGTGTGATGGAATAGGCTTTAAATAAATAGTGTAAGGCGGTCGGTGTCAAATATAGTAACCCAACAAGGTTGGAGTCGAATCCCACATGGAGTAGGTGCGAAAAGGTTACTTGAGTAGTGTAAACTTGTCTTAAGTCGTAATTCTACTCCTTTAACTTATCAAGAGAATGATATAATTGTGATTTAACAAGATTACTATTCTGTTGTGAGAATGTGATTAATTTGATTAAGGAAACCATGGTTGTGTCCCCGTCAAAGAAATGTAATGCTATCATTGTTAGTATGATATATTTCTAATGGAAGGTCCTTTGATATGCAAACGGTTTCTAAATGACTACCCAATAGTTTCCAACGGTTGGGTAGCATTTTCTCTTTATGATTTTCCCAAATATAAAAGAGTTGCAATTAAGAACAACCAATATATGCCAAGTAAAATCCACTTATTCTTAAGTAAATCCATTAAACAAGGTTTAATGTCTTGAGTTCTTTATATTCACTTCTACCAAACCCCAACCCACTTTCTCAAGGAAAGAAAGAGTAAAGTGGAATAAGTTAATGTTTGCAACCACCAACAATAAAAAAAGCACAAGAAATGAATAAATATCAACCAACCGTTATATATATATATATATATATATATATATATATATATATATATATATCCAATGTTAAACACCCATTAATATTACACCCATTTAGGGTCCACAACCTTAGTATTTAAAACTAGCTACTCATACTAGAATACAAAAACAAAGCAATAAATTGAGTCATAAAGCTTACAAAAGTGCATGATTTTCTCTTCACGAGCTTCCAAATTTATGATGTATTCAATGCCATCAATATAGTCCCCTTTTCAGACTAAATGCCCCACAAAATCTTAGTAAATCTATTTATAGTAGACCAAAAGTCGGGGTCAAGATTGGACAAAAATGCCCCTACAGAGATCTTATGCGATCGCATAATAGTCGCAGACCATGTAAGCGGTCCGTATAGTTGACAATTGCATCGCAGAACTTCATATCCTCAAGCCCAGATTCCACCACATTTTCATTTTGTGGTCCGCATATCAATTATGTGACCACATTTTCCATCACAGAAGTGCTACACAGGTTCTTCAATTTCAGTTATGCGGCTCGCAGAAGTTTTATGTGAACTCATAATGGATCACACAATCTTCTCTTATGTTGGTCAAAACAGTTGCTTCAGTTTGCGGTGGCTATGTGATCTGCATAGTACTTTTGCGGTCACATACATGCAGCATTCCTACTCTTTTGTGGCTTTTTGACTTCTTTTCGATGTGTATGGGTTTTCAAGTCTTATGCACTACTAAACACCCAAAATTTATAAGATTTAACTACAAATGCATTGAAAGATGAACTAAAGTCTATGTAGTTGGTACCAACAGTGCCAAAATTCTACGGCACATCACCCGCAGGCTGATTCTGTCATCTTCACCACCACATGTGCTTTGAGCGGCTAATCGAGCATCCCCACGGGCGCCGCCTTCAGGATTGACTTCCAAGTTTCTGTTGATGTCTATACTTAGGTGACGTCAATTGGATCTACAGCCGGAACTCCATCGAGGTTGTTTACCTTGAAAATGACAATAACAATTAAATTTGATTTTGTGGTTCTAAAAATATGTGATTTATTTTTATGCTAGTTGTTATGCAATATATGCTATTTATGAGACAAGAAAATAAAATAAGGCCTTAAAGATAGTATGTTTAAGCAAACCGAGTGGCTGAGAATCGGGGCCTCGAGCATGGTTATACGGGCCTCGGGGTCGAGCTCGATACTAAGTTATGGGCAGTCGGTAAAGGACTAACAGCTTTGAGAGCCTTGATGAAGGCTCTTTATGATCAATAATGAGCAATAAATGAAGAACAATTAATAGAACATAATAAATGTAAGCAATAAATGTAAATAATAGAATCAAGGGAGAATGTATTTAAGTTAGAGAGCAGAGAATGTTCTTGTATTCAATATTGTGTGTTATGCGTCCCTTACATAGCGACAAGGGTCCCCTTTATATATGAGGGGGAATCCCAACATAGTACAAATGCATTTATTACAAAGATATTTAGCTGGTACATCCATTTAATGCCACGGTACTGGTTCAAATTAGTCTAGTAGCCTTAGTCAGCCTATATCACGTGCCTTGGGAACTTCTGCTTTTCATCATATCTACCGATCTGCACTGCCCCGAGATCAAACGTTGATGACCCCTCGGGGTTGAACCTTAACCATTTTCTCGAGCCTTTAGAAGGTATACCAACGAAGTGTCATAATGACTATAAAGCCGGACCCTCTGATTTTTACCGCATACAGATAGTCCCCACATTTCTTATAGTGAAATGATAAGAAATGACTTTGACACCGATCTCCTCGAGATTGTCACGATGACGTCAAGATTTTGACGTAAGCTTTTGCGATGGCTATGACATCTCATCAGTTCATCTTCTCAGAAGCATCCGTTACACTGCATGTTTATTTTCCCAAAGAGTAATAATATCGTCACTGGTCCGTTTCTTAAAAAGTGACAATTGCGCCTGTCGATACGTTTCCCAAAGGCATTGATCGTCGATTATGTTATCGCATTTATACAAATAGAAGGTTTCTTGAACCATTGTTTTGCCCAGTCATTCTTCAGCAGTCTTTAACCCTTTTCTTCTCTTCATCTAAACTCCGTCTTCCATGGTTCAGAATTGTGACAACAATATCCCATGGTTGCGACTTTGCTAATTATGCTAAGGTTGTCTTCTTTGAAGCTTTATCCCACTAGACGGGATTACACTGAGATGTTGTTGCTGTCGTAATTGCTACTGCTGTCGTTGTTAGCTCTAGACGATGAGAAAGGGGCACCGAATTATTCTTACTTGGGGAGATATTCAAACTTTACACTATTGCTCCGAAGGATGTTCGAACTTTACACCGTTGCTCACCTCCTTACTTCGACCTGGTGTGGCGCTTCACCCCTTTTGCATTCCTTGGAGTGAAGCGACACTCTTGTGCGGCACAATATTCCAAGAAGTGATTCAAAGTAGCCATGCCAGTGAAGCCTACGCTCGCCAAGTCTTCCATCAGGCTGCAATTTTCTCCTGAGATTGAGATGGAGCCTCCGAGGAAGATGTTCCCGACGGAGTTTTTCCTGAGGATATACCCCAGAAAGTTGATTAGGCCTTTGACTGTTATTTTTGCTTCTTTGTTTCTGTGTAAGGACACTTCGTGGGCTTTCGTAATCATCGTTTATTAATACAAAAATGTTTCTTCAATTTGTCATTGATTGGTGCTGGATTTCCCCTTGCCTGTGTT